AGAAGATATTTTGGTATGGTCCGCCGATCTATAGTGATTTTTACCGATTGGCGGACAAACTCACGGGCATTGTTTATTCGTCATTGAATTTTACTACGAACAAGATCTAGATTTTATGGGGACTCTAATGCACAATTTGAGGTGCTATGTTAATGTTAATATTTATAATAAAATTTGTGCACCTTTATCAGCCAGATTTGTGAATTATTATGCAATACAAACTTTGTATTAAAGACTAGAACTACGGACCGGCAACGCGGACCAGGCCAGCTAGTTTATGATAAACAAGAAAATCCGGAATGCTGTTTTTATATATAATATAGCCGACCCCGATTAATGTATTAATTGTCATAGCAAAAGCTAAGCGTACGGAAACTGCAATATTTTAAAGCTGCTGTTGCTATTCGAGAGAGGTTCAAGGTAGCAATACATCTGAACCCACATAAATCGTAAACACGTTTTTTCCGATTTTGAAGCCTATACATATATAAATCCGGAAAATATTTTTTTGTGTCTATAAATTACAAACAAGCAATCAAAAGTACAAATATTTTCCTCTTTTATAGATACAGATATAATTTTATAGTGTCATGATTATGTGTTCCACATCTGCAAATCAATTAAATAAAAGTAAACAACCGAACTGCATTTCAAACAACAATCCTTGAAAACTTCACATGGAAATAGTGTAACGTGTTCCGATGTTTGTGTTGGTTTAAAGGTGTCAGATGTTAGTTTTATTTGCCCAAAGACAAATCGGTGCTAATCTGATTTGAAAATGCCACAACTTCTCTTTGTTCATCCGTGTCTTCGGTGTTAACTTTTATCTTGGTGGGAAATTTGGCATTTGTACAACGATGTCACAAAATGTGTTTGGTGGTGGATATGAAATGTATTTGGATTTTAGAAATTGGATGAAAATCCAGTTACATCCCAATGATGGATGGTGATTGGAGGCAAAGGTAAATAATAAATTTCCTGTGAAAACTATGCAGTTCTCATATCGTTTTTCGATAATTACATTGTCGATGCTAGGTTGTGTGAAATTAACCTCAAATCAGGTTGCTTTGTTTTGGTATTTATTGAACACTTTACCTCGGTCTCGGTTTTAAATAGCTCAAAAAAAAAGGAAATTCTGAACTAAACACACGAGCTTTCAGAAATCAACACTATTTTTGTTACTGTTGTTAAGTATGACTCCAATTTATATTTTGTCCGTTTTTTTAGAAGAATTCAAATGCTTCTGAATTACAACAATTGAATCTCAGTTTTATTTAAAATTTCAATGATCCCAACAAAATCTCACTTTATTATTAACTTTAATTGTCTAGAAAAAAAGCAAAGCCGTTCCATATAGCACAATTCCAGGCAATAGTCTTAATTGAGAATCAACATTACCATTAGATTTGTGCTTCCTCCACGCGCAGCACTTACCATGGTAATGGAATCCTGCCTACTGCTGCAGAAATTGTTGGGGTTGATTTTGGGCGATAAAATTAAGGCGCATATGCCCACACGGAAATGCTAAATGCGAGGCATAAAACCGCTTACCGAAGTGGAAGTGAAGTGGAGAACATTAAAAAATATAATTTTTATTACCAAACGTTAAATGTAGAGGAAATGGGGTGAGGTGTAGATTTTTTTTTGGAATTAGCTAAGAAAGTAAATGTGAGGAGTTAGTAAGCAGTAAGTATATACCGAAATAGGGTGGTCACTACAATTCTTGATGGATATGAAAGAATTGCTCTTCGGAGAGCTCTGATGACACCGAATGAGCGTTGGTCAACGGCGAGGCTGATTTTTAGTTTTTATGAATAATTTTGAAGGACTCGACATAGTTCAACAATACTTTAAGGTACATCTGAATTGTTCGTGAATTGGAGATTGTTCAAAGAAACCGAAATCTCATAAAGCTCTGCACCGAACCATTAAACAGCGATTTGGGCAAAAAAGGTTGGATATTATCTCACGGTACGGCTCACCATTCACAGTTACACTACGATTAGCAGTAATTTGAAGGAGTATGGTTCAATGATGCCACCAGACCATTAACCGCACCAAACTGTGACTTTTTCTGGATGCATTGCTATGCATAGCTTTAGTCATGCTTCTTACTGATCTCTACTCCAAAATCAATAATTTACCTTATTTACATATCCATTGGGCCAAAGATGAGTTTCACTGTAAAATGGAAAAAGCGCGCGATGACCTTTCTAAACAGAGCACACATTTTGATAAAAAGATTCAATGATTTACAAGCGTTGTTCGTTTCTAAGATGGTTCATGGTTGAATTATAGACCAAACAGTAAAAAATAAAACGAAATGTGTGTGAGTTAAAAATTATTAAAATATTAAAAAGTATCAGTCGGTTTTGTCTACCCTCAGCCTATGTCAATTTATTTAAATGTATTTTGACTTACATTATGTTTACTCAAAGTGTTGGCAATTTTTGAAGGATTGGATCTATATTATTCATTTCTCATATGAAATAATTCTGGAAAAAATATTATAACATGTCGGGTTGGGAATCTTCGCGTCAGATCTTGTATTTATGAAAATATTGCGATGTGTGACATTTGAAGAGAATCGAATGCTTATTTCGAATTTTATGAGAGTCATAATTATTCAAAATTTTTACTCGTTGTGGGGTAGGTACCAGAGGAGTGGTTTGATATATTCTATCTTCAGACCAGATTTTATGTAAGTAAAAGTATTGGGATGTGTGAAATTTGAAGACAATCGGACTCCTATTTCACATTTTATAAGGTTAAAATTATTCCAAATTTTGACCATTTATGGGGGAGAAGTTAGCACTGACAAAAATATTGGGATTTGCGCAGTTTGCATAAAATTGGATGATCATTTCTCTTTCTATGGGCTAAATTCTTTTCTTTGAAAAGCTTGACCTTTTGTGGGGGAGGTACCAGAAGGAGTGGACCGACATTGCCTATCTCCGAACTTGAGCTAAGTTTAACAATAATATTGCGATGTACCTACTTTGGATCGAATCGGATACTTCCTTCGAGATTTATCGTGCTCACCAGCCAGCCAAACAGACGGACACCCCTAGATCAACTCTTAATATCTTGAAATGAATTTGGTACAAAGAGACCTAGGGTCTAAAATCATCACTATACCAAATTTCTGTAGTTTGCGTTACATGGGGGCTGTACCAAAACCTAGATCTGTTTAGCCAATTTTTTCCATTCGCCTTAAAAAGAAACTAATATTATCAAAATACAGAATGTCGTGAGCTATCTTTCTATGCGGTCTGTTGGAAAATATGGATCCTAAAAATTGCCTTTTTTGTGGCGGTATTGCCAAATTCGAAATTTGAAATTTTTTTTTTTTGAAAAATGTATTTAAAGTCATTAAAATATTGAATATCGAAAGGAACTGGTAAATGAGGGCAATAGAAAAACATGGAACTATATAAACTTGGACCTATGTAAACGAAAACAGAAAAATGTTCCAAATGTGTAGCCGCTTTACAAGTCAACGATGTCCGTCTGTCTGTTGAAATCAAGATTCAACCACATTATTTGACGTAGAGCTTCAAAATTTGCCTGAAGAATTGTGTCTAGGATGGCTGGTCTTGAAAATGAGATATATAAGTCCACGTTTTGATATAGCCGCCATATAACGGTAACTCCCGATATTCGATATTTTGATGATTTTCGCCAACATTATTTCATGGATTTGTCTAAAAATTGGCATTTGTCATAGTGGATTCTAGCTCGGGTGGCGGAACATTGTATATACAGGTCTACGTTTTTGTATAACCCCCATATAACGGTACCTCCAGATATTCGGTATTTTGATGAGTTTTGTCACATTTTTGCATTTAGGTCCACGTTTTCCTATAGCTCTAATATATTGATACCCACCGATAATTGGTATTTTGATAATTCTAGTCACATTTACCCACGATATTGTTTCAAATTTGGCTTTTAAAAAGATTTGGTAGATGACAATCCTTGAAGTATAAAATATTTAATAGAGATTCCCGTTGTGGTATAGCCCCCATATATCGGCCTCACAAACTTGGTTTTTTGAAAAGTTTAACAGCATTATCCAAACGGTATTGCTGGTGTTTGTAATTTAAAGTGGAACACTTTTGACTTGAGATATTTTTATATAAAAACGCTTTCTTTACCCAAAGCGTGGAGGGTAATAAAATATCGGCCCGGTCAAACTTAAGGTTTTTTTCTTGTTTTTTGTAAACCAAAACTTCTCTTAAACCGCTAGCAATTTAATCCTGGAAAAATCATAAATTCACCTAAAGGTCACTTCTGACCGTTACATCGATGATGATGTTATCCGAGATACCGCGTTTATAGTAAACGATCCACATATAAAATAGCTTAATCTTAGTTTCTACACATTTGACTAAAAATCGACAAAATTCTCACCAATTAAGAATGACCTCTCTGCAAAAATCTAACAAAAAAGTAACATCCTAATGTTATTTGTGATATTTCTTTATTTTCTGACATATTTTTTATAGCATGAGATTTTTTCCATTTGACTAACAATATTGAATCGTAAATTTTGTAATATTTTTACACCCCACAACACTATGTGTTGGTGGTGTTATATATAGGTCGCAATTATAGTCCGATCCTCATGATCGGAATAATATCTGAATAATATCTTAATTTTCAGTTATAGACTGGTCGCAAAAGACAATTTGAATTTTGAAGCTGTTACAGTTACAGAATCAATAGACAAACATTTCGATGTATTAGCAATGCCCATCAAATTTACTGTAGCGCATCATTTAGCTCGAGCTTTTCCTGTCCTCATTATAGCCCGCCAAGAGGGACAGGATGAAACACTTACATTTTTTAATTATTATTGCTGCGTAAAAAACGAACGTTTTTTTTTTTGTTATGTAGAACTTACATGAAAGGAGATTAATTTCAAAGTTAATAAGGTACATTTTCGTAAAAGTTCTTTCTTGATTTGAATAACTTCAATTAGGTCATTTTTATTATTGCAACAACAAAGACAAATGAATGAATGAAACACTCGCGTTAAATATTATTGGCCACTGGAGATATTTTCAATTCGTTTCTCCAGGCATTCAAAACGTTGTAATTGATATTCGACAAGTTCGTTGAACATTTCCTTAATAGCACCGATGGCACCAAGAATGGACTGTTTCTCCTGGTCGAAAAATTTTTTTGATACAAACTTTTTTTGTTCCAAGAAAATGTTTCTCTTTTGCTCTTGAAGTTTCTCTTTTACGTCTTTCCATTCGGCCTTAACATGTTTCAAATACTCAAACCGTTCCAAACATTTACCAAACTCATGATCCAAACTATTCTTCCATTGTACCAGATTTGCCACGAGCTTCTGTTGCTGCAAAAGTTCCTTGGCCGTTTCACAAAAGCGAGAACGTAGATCCGTTATGTGATCCTTGGCGGCACGACAACATTGAACAATTTCATTGATTTGGCATTGAACTTTGTTTTGATTCTTCTGCAGGGAGCAGATTTCCTTATTTTCCGAGCATTTAAGAAGGACCTCCAAATCAACGCATTCTTCTTCCTTTGGGCACTCCTCCATTTGGGTTTTTAAATGTAATTGCAATTTTTGAATGTGTCGCTTCATGCATTCCAATTCCTTCATCAAGATATTGAGGTCCAGAGGTTCTTCCTCCAGAGGGATGTCATGTTCCTCTTCACCGATTTGCTCTTCGGTTTCCGCTTCAAAGACTTCAATTTCTTCCTCTTTTGGTGGAAAGGTGTGACAGTGTAGCGTACGTTGAAAAATATCCATTTTGTGTGGTCGGGGGAAGCAATTTTAATATTTTGAAATACAAATGACTTATTGTTATAATTTGGAAATTTATTTAGACATTTAATGGCTTTGAAAAAAATAATACTGTGCAATAATGTCAACCAAGCCAGACAACTTGAAATGTGGATTTTTAGGAAGTTCTCGTAGAAGCTAACAAAACAAGTATGGCACGTTTTGGCTATGTCTCCTAAACTAGTAAGATTTTTGTTTAGATACCGCATATGTTCTAGGAGAAAATAAATGTCGACAAAACTAATGTCTTTATACCCTCCCTCCACTTTGTCATTCCGTTTGTAACTCTTCGAAATATATATTTTGATTCAGCGGAAAAAACTAAGTGGTTTTAGGATGTCCGTCCGTCAGTTGTAATCACGCTATCTTTCGAATGAAAAAGTTTTCCATACGTGTGTATTTTGCCAGTAGAATAAGTTCGTAAATGTCGGTCCACGTCTTTGTATAGCCCTCATAAAACGGTACCTCCCAATATTCGCTATTTTTATGATATTAGAAACATTATAGACCGGAATTGTTTCAAATTTTGCATTTGAAGTTCATATTGAGTACTACTACCTATGACAGAAAATTATCTATGCAGGCGCACGTCTTTGTATAGCCCTCATATACAGGGTGAGATAAAAAATCTGCAATCAACTTCAGACAGCTGTCATTTCTAAGCCACTTCTCCGACAGTTCCAGTGATAGCTCATTACATTTTTTACAAGCGTATAAAAGCATTTTGGTGAGTATTTTCCAGAAAAAAAGTTATTCGTGATGGATTTCAAGCGTGATAGTGTGATTTTTTTATATTTGGCTGGAAAACCACAAGTGGCTATCGTTAGAGCACTCCAGCCTTTAAATGTGAATAAATATTTTGTGTCTCGCACCATCGCTCGTTACCGTGATACTGGTAGCGCAGCCCGACGTCATGGAAGTGGACGGAAGAAAACAACAAAAAACTTCAGCTGAAATGGTTCGAAAAGTAAAGAAGCGACTTGATCGAAACTCGCGTCGCAGTGGCCGAAAAATGGCTCAATTCGGCAAATATTGAAAAATAAGGTAAATTCATTGAAATTCCAAAAAGTGCCAGAACTTACACCGCAACAGAAAGAAAATTGACTTACAAGCGCTAAAGAGTTGCTTCGCTTGGCCGAAAGTAATGAACTGCCGAATTTGGTTTTCTCCGATGAGAAAACATTCGTTGTCCAGCAGCTTGTAAAAGAAAACAAAATGATAGTCTTACTTGCCAAAGAGGTCAACTGAAAATGAAATCAAGTGCCCGTCATGGTGTGGGCCGTCATAACAGCCGATGGTCGCTCTCCGCTCGTATTAATCGACCGTGGGATTAGAATAAATGGCGAAAATATTCTGGAGGGTGTATTAAAGCCTTGGGCACGCAAACATTTTGGCCGCAGACCTTGGACATTCCAACAGGACTCAGCACGCGACACCTAAGTTTGGTTGCAATATGAGGTTCTTCGCTTCATTTCCAGCCCACAATGGCAACTAAAATCTCCAACCCGTTGGACTATTGTGTCTGGAGTATTTTGAAAAGCAAGGTTCGCACTAAAAAATACCAAAGTGTCGATCTCCTCTAGCAAGCGCTTCGCCGGAAATGGACCAAAATACGGTACAGCAACATTCGGGTAGCGTGTGACGGTTTCTTTGTATTTCGAAGCTACTTTCATTGTTCTATCGCTTCCCACATACCCACATACAGAACCTCTTTAATTGTTCAGCCAAACTACTTGCTATGTACTAATTTTTTTAAAGCTTTACCATTCAAACTGTATAGGTGATTCCACAAAGTAAGTTTTGTTAACTGGATACTCCCTTTGATTAGTGTATAAACAATGAGTATACATTTCAACAATAAGATGTTGGCGAAGGTATAAACTAAAAAAATTTAAACACATAATTGCACAAAATTACCTTCTTAATGCTACCATGATAGAATCAGAGTGACACATTTTTCGTGAAAATTATGTTGATTTATAGTAGCGGAGTAAGGAATGCTCAATTTTATCAAATTCCCAGAACCATTATAACAACAGTTGGTTTGTTCCAGAATTACAAGGATGTACAAATGTTTACCACGATAACCCATTTTCCCTTTGCGATATCGAAAAAAGAAAAATTCAAAAACTTGTAGATTCGTGCAGGTTCTCGAACAGACCACAGTTTAAATTAAAATTTTGTTTGGTAAAAATCGCTCATGCACTTCCCAATTCCCATCAATTTGAATGCCCATTTTCATGGCGCTCAGTTACCCGAGTCATACAACTACCCATTCTCTTCATTCACCAACGAAATAAAGGATTATTTCAATTTATTAGCCTATTTACATACAAAAATATACATTTACATATTTATATGGCGAGCGATTCCCTCGAGAGCCATTAAACTTAAATAGATTCAATTCAATGAAACTCAATTCAATTGTGTCAAACAGAATTTGACACAAACATTTTGAAAACATGTGTAAAACAACGCCAAACAGGATGTCTTCGACTATATCCGGATAACAAGACAAACATGCATGTACATGTGTGCGTTTGTGTGTGTGTACGTAATTCACATGATACAGTCAATGAATGACAAAGTCATAAAGTTTCATTAGTTTTAATGGGAGGACATAAATTCTCCTTACCAAAAATCTGAATACGTGACTCAATTATTTTTCTATTCCATCAAGATGTCAATATTTCGTCCGAAAAAATCGTGAATATATATGAGAACCTCTATAACCATATGCCCGCCTAGTGAGCGCAGTATGATGGCGAAATTTATGCAAAAGACAATAAAATTAAATTGTTTTCCGCATCTTCTTGCGGAAGCAATTCTCTGCAAAGAGACTGTTCAAATACGAAAATGTATTAAGAATATGCAAAACTGATTGGGACCACCAATCTGGAAAGGAATGAACTTTTCAAAATTATGGAAATCATAAATTCTCAAATTGAATCTGCCATGTGTGTGTGTGCCCTTTTCTTCTTTTCGTGGCGAATACAATCAACATAAAATCCTTGTCATCCTTTGGGCTGCGCCACACAAGGCTTGCGAATGTGAATACTATTTACACATTTGGCACTTGCCACAATCTCTTCCGTTTGCCATGCCACATATGCACAGAAGTTCTTTGGGATTGTTATTTAAGAGCTTTCTCTCGCTCTATCTCTCTCACTCTCTGTCGAAGCACTTGAAGTTCCATTTCGGTTTTATTTATATCCCCACGATCTGCCTTTTTGCAGTTAAAATAATAAAGTTTTACCGCCTCGAATATTCGTCTATTCGTAAGTGACTGCTATGCCTTATTGGCACGTCAGCAGCCCGAGGAATATGAGGGCAAGGCAGCCAGAGATGGATGTTTTGAAATACAATGCGATTGTTTGTTGTCATTATGGACCTACACCTGTCTAAACATTTTATTTTAAATTCAAATGACATTCTTTGTAATTTAACAATTCTATTTGTACTTTCTCATGGGTGCAAAGGGGAGCATTGTTATTGAGTGCTTGGGAAAAACAAGAATTTAAAATTTAAATTGTTTAAATTCTTCAAAGTACTTAAGCTGAACAACATTGTTATTGAACGATCGGTAAATGCTTGGGGAAGTCTGGGTTCAGGGAGGGGAAATAAGCCGGGTTTTACCATTTAAGTACTCTTTGGGTACCAAAAGTACAAAAAGATGCAAATAACACAATATTAATCAATAGATGTGTGCGAGTCGCTTTTGAGAGTCGTAGGAAGGTCTTTCTGAGGGTATGAAAAGTTATTAATGTAACAGAATTGTATAACATTGGCAATGAGCGATCTGTATGAGTTAGAATCGGACCTTCGAGAGGGAGCATTCCTTGGACTAGGGAAATATCGAACATACTCAATTTTTCGATGTCGCTCGAATAAATCTGAGACTGTTTCACTCCTTTTAGAGTGGGAGCAAAATTCGTTCAAAATCGAGAAGGATCTACTCTTGTCGAGCATTCTTTTAATTGTTGCATTTGTATGCATGTATATTTTCTCAAACCACAGCTGCAAACGAAACAAGTCCAAAACACCTTGACGAACATTGTCACCATTATGTATTTAACAAGTAAAAAAACAGTAAGTTAGGCCGGGTCAAACTTTTAGTACCACCACCTTAGGGTAAAGGAAACATTAGAAGAAATGTGGCAAAACCATCAAAATACCGAATATCGGGAGGTACTGTTATATGGAGCCTATACCAAATCATTGACCCATAAATGCAATGTTTCGCCACCGGAGCTGGAACCCATTATGACCAACAAATACCAATTTTCAGACAAATCCGTGAAAAAAGGTTGCAAAATCATCAAATTACCGAATATCGGGAGGTACCGTTATATGGGGGCTATACCAAATCATGGGCCCATACATGCAATGTTTCGCCACCGGAGCTGGAAACCATTATGACCCACAAATACCAATTTTTAGACAAATCCGCGAAAAATGTGGCAAAAAAAAAACTAAAATACCGAATATCGGGAGGTACCTTTATATGGGGGCTATACCACAACGTGGACCTATACATGCAATGTTTTGCCACACGCTCAGGGACCCGTTATGACCTACAAATACCAATTTCCAGACAAATTCGTTAAAAAAATGTGGCATAAATCATCAAAATACCGAATATCGGGAGGTACCGTTATATGGGGACTATACCAGAACGTGGACCGATATATCTCATTTTCAATACCAACCATCCTAGACACTATGCAAATAGCTCTGCTGAATTGTGGCGCTCTACGTCAAATAATGTGGACTGTATCGTGATTTCAACAGATAGACAGACAGACAGAGACATCGTTAAATCGACTTAGAATTTTACGCTGATTATTAATATATATACTTTATGGGGTCTAAGACGAATATTTAAGGATGTTACAAACGGAATGACAAAGTTTATATACCCTCCTTTCCAAGGTGGAGGGTATAAAAAGCATATGATATTGGTGTTGTATCTTTAAACAAATTCCACCGGTTCTTTGTTTCTGCAGTTTTTCTCTTCTTTGATGTGCCACACATACGCATACACATGGTTGAACGGTTTTTAAGGCGG